CCATATCAACAAGACCTGTCCAATTAAGAAAATAATTGGACAGTTACCTATATGGGATTAATGAGAAGCTGTATAATTAATAATAATAAATGATAATAATAGACTATAATAATCAATAATAATAATAATAATGATAATGAAAATAAAAGCTTTTGTCTTGGAATAAGTACGTAGCCCATAACATTAGATGTGATTGAGAAGGCGGCAAATGAAATGAAAAAGGTTATGGAAAAGAAAGAAATTTATTGGATTGACAAAAAAGCGCACTGTAGACAAATAATGGCACTGCAAAAATCTGTCTTGCCAAAGTTTATAGGCAAGTTTCATTCGCAATTTGATTCTTTTAGTGAGCCAATGAATTGTCAATTAGTATTTTTTTAAAGCGATTGCTTGTGGAAAAGTGCACTTTCGTTTAATTGACCTAATTATAAACATATAGAATTAAGAAACAAAAGAGCTATGTAGGGCGAGACAAAAATTTAAAATAGGAGTGTGTAATTTCAGGGTAAGACATGGAATAGCAAGAAAATGCGCTTAGTGGAAAGGAATTAAATTTAAACGCATAATAATCTAAAATAGATTGGAGCTCAGAACAGAGCTTATACTAAAGCGTAGTTATTCAACATTGTTGCTAGCTCTCGCCAAATGCATTGAAAATATGATTGTCATATTAAAGATATTATGTTAATACTTTGCAGTTAGAAATGGAAGTATCAGAACTTTGATTAGGTTTACCGAAGCTTTTCCTTGTCATCTTTAATATTTAAGTATCTTATTACATCATTAACAAGCTGGATTAAAAGAGACATTTCATTATGTTAATCCTATATTATATATTAAATTCTAAGCACTTATTTTTTATTGAGTGTGTAAGAGAGAATTTATAACATGGTTTTTTACGAGCGCGCGTTAACTTGGCGGGAAAAATTTGCATAAAATTGCCCTGATAGAAAGATGATTTTCTATCAAAGCGTGCGCCAAATGCAGGGAGAAAAGTTAGTAAGATTTTTGCCATCATTAAACTGATAAAGCACCAGTTATTCAATCAAACCAACGCTATAAATATCTCTATCACATTGTCTTCTTAGTTAAAGCATTTTTACTGACTTGCAAAGTTAAAAATCGCTTATGTTAGACCTAAAGCCGATTACTGTATTTTAAAGAGAAAGTTCAACCAAATCAAATTAGACTAGTCAGGGTCAAGGAAATATCTTTGAAAAGTTAGAATTTGTAAGAAAAGACTAGAGGTTTGAGTCAGTAGTAGAAAAAACCTTTAGAGTGTTTGCAAAATAAAAATTAGAGGACCGACGAGAAGTTTTTTAGAGGTAAAGAAACAGAGAATTTTATATCGTCTGCGCAAATGAAAAAACTGAATCCCAGTTTATGCATGTGTAAGGTGATGGAGGTGTATGTGAGTTAAGATGTAATCTGCATCTGTACTCAATCGGCAAAAAGATAACAAGGGCATACGAGGACACGACATCCTGCTAGCAAAACTAGGTATACGAATTGAAACACAAGCTAGGAGCGGGAAAATTGTTAGTGGAGTGAGGCACTGAGATGGCTTTTTGTGAGAACCAATCAAAATTTACGGACCGAAGCAACGTCAAATAAGGCCAAAAAGGTAGGTGTTATCCTCGTTTAAATTTGCTTAGTAAGAAATTCCCTGTCTTCATTTAAGAGAAAAAAGTCGATAACTCTTCTAAGTATTTTAAACTAGACTGCAAGTTAATAAATATCGATCAAATGTGAAGGGTTTGAACGAATAATATCCAAGGATACCTTATTTTGACTAGCAGTTTGATGTTCAATGAAAACCTTGGTGCCTAGTTTGTAAGTTTAGTCCTCCATCACCTCCACGTACGTGATACAAAGAAAGTTGACCGAGATATGAATATTATTGGAATATCCGACTTGGTGTAACCGATTAACCAACGAATCTTTGAAAAATTTGTCTCAGTCGAAACTGAGCATGCGCAGACTAAAAACTCAATTAAATCAGTGTTCTCGAATTCATGGGCAGCGGTAAAAAACTACAACGAAAGCTAAAAATGGAAAAATTGATATAAAATAATAATAATGAAGGAAAACAAAAGAGTCAACTTCGTAAAAAGAAACGCAGTAATGCTTTGAATGCTTTACTTTTGAAATGAAAAACATACAATATTAAAACATCTACAAAAAATTTCGACGATGACGGGAAAAAAAGGTTTCGAACACTTTACTAATAAGTGGAATTGAATTTATTTTTTCCTATTAAAACAATTTCTTTAATTGACGTACACGCATTTAGAAAAACGTAAATTTATCTAATATGTAACTAAGTTTTTTTGTTGTAATTTCTAGTTCTGATTCTTGAATTCAAGGGAAGACTGGGAACGAATTCTTCTCGCAAGGAGTTATGGGGCTGTTTACTCGAGAAACTCGATCGAGAGCCCCACGATTCCATTCTCGACTTTCACATCCCCATAATACTTTGCGTCTTTAGGGGGTAACCAGAGGGTAAAAACCCACTTATTTTGCTGAAGGCTGATCAGACAATGTTGAAAATACAGAAGTAAAAAACAGAAAAAGATAGAAGCTTGAAGATGTTTAAGGTAAATTTTAAACATTTTTTCGTAAGTCAATACATTTTCTGTAAGACCAAAACYCTTCATGATCTGTACACGCAAAAATAACTTGGAATAAACTGATAATCAGTATTGTACAGACAAAAGCAGGTATAGTATAAATTCAATTAAGAAACCTTTCAATTTGGGACAGTTTTTTGATTGGTTACCCCCAAAAACGCAAGGCAATATGGGGATGTGAAAGTCGAGAGTTCAAAACGAGAATTCAAAATTCGTTTCCCGTTTTCCTTGAACTTAAAAAAAACATGCAGTATTTTACAGTCTTTTAATGGAAAATTTTTAAAATTGTAAAAAATTGTAAAACCACGAAAAATCAAAATGGCTAAGAAAAGAGATAATAATCAATTTTTTTTTTTTCATGCCTTGTATTTTCAGCAATAATTACGTTTTCACTTATAAACTTCTTAGAATTACTATTTTAAATTTGTCCTCGTGCATTTGATTTAAAACGTGCTAGTGAAAAATCGTTTTTGATACTTTCCCTCGTGTTACTAAAGGTTCTGTTTGACTATAGCTTTGAACATAAGGCGCCTGCGCTTTCGTTGCTAAAGAAAAACACAACCTATAATATCAAGGGAAGTGTGTAAGTCTCTTTTTCCAAGAGGTTTAAGAGAAGGAAAGAAGAGTCTCTACGAGACCCAGGGAAACTGAAAACGAATTGGTAATGCGCATGCGCCTAGGCGTTTAAACGGACAATTTGTAACCTAATTTTCTTTGTAAAAAAAAAAAAAAAAAACAAGTATATTTGCATCACAAAAAAATGAATTTCGGAAAAAAAGTCAAATTAAGTTCACTATTCTGTTAAATTTTAAATTAAAGTTAAAAGCCCTGCATTTTGGTTTCCTTATTAATTTTGCTAAAAGGTTTAGTTGAAATACAAGAGTCTTCTTACACTGTTCTTCTAAAACTATTGGAAAGAGAGACGAATTAGGAGTTAATTTAGCTCGTGCTGGTGCAAACAGTGTGCAAAGAAAGAAATAGTGCAATCAAGCCTTTTGGCAATGAGGAAAATTGTTCTTAGTGACGAAGTGTCAAGAATGATTTGTACTTGTAATGAATCCTCGCACAATCATGACGACGTCAAAATGAAAATCGTTTTATGAAAATGAAAATGAAGTAATTGAATGTCAATTATTCTTTTTTTAATTCTGTCAATCAAAATTGATTGCTCCAATGTCAATCATTTCCTCTGAACAGATGTCCAGTCGGAGTGCAGATCGCGGCCGTACGTACGGTTCTCCAGGTCGGGATATTCCATTAATCTTCAAGTCTCTGTATTATGTTAGCTTAGTTAAGGTTATGCACTTCACGCGTCAGCACTCTATACGTCATCACCTTATACGTCATAGTAGTAAAGTCGCTTACCCATTGGCTCTTTTCCATGTGGTAATTGCGGTAGCGCCCGGGTCTTTTTCTGCCCTGGGCCATAGACCGGGGACGTACGACCCAAAGGGTACTGCCCCGGTAGTGTGTGATAACCATGATGCATTACGGGCGACATGCCAGGTGACATGCGCCCGTCAGTCGGACGTCCAAGTCCCGGATGTTGAATGGATCTAAGCTGTAACTGTTGCGTTCTGTTGTGGTCAGCAGCTGTATAAGGATAAGAAGTGCCATGCGTTGTGGTCGGTGTTGACATATGGTAATACGGTCCGGTGTGAGCTTAGAGTTAAAGTTACAGGTAGCAAGATTAGAGGAGGGAGGATGATAAGGAGGAACAGAGTCGTGCATGCATTTGGATTAAAGATAAACAAGGTGACTAGATAGAGCTAGAAAGGGAGTTTCATTTAGCAGATCATTTTACGTGTTGTGGAGCAAAATTAATGGGTATATTCATTAAGCTAATTTAGTATTTTTAAATATTAAATAAATATTCATGCTTGAATCTAATCTAAAGTTAATAATCATCAAAATAATATCTAAATCAATAATAAAGTTAGCCGTGTTTAGCTGTTATTAATTTTATTTTTTGTAGCCATTTTATTTTAGAGATTTTAATCTCTATCGATTTATTTTTAGCGGTTTTTTTTCTTTTTTCTTTTTTTTTTTTTTTTGTAAGACAGAAAAGACCTTCAACACCCGTCAGTTCTCGAGATATTTATTCAACATTAAATTTATTTTAGATATGAATATTCTACAAAATATTTGCTCAAAGATGTTTATAGAATCACATTACAAAGATTAGAGATAGATAGACACATAGATACAAAGAGACGATCGGTAGAAAAAAAGTAATTTAGTTGCAAAGTTTACAAAGAGAATACATAAAAGAACAGCCTAACGGCGATGCTTACTCAGTTCAGCCCCGAGCACGTGATATTGTGACGTCACTCACGTGAACAATTATAACCTAACTGCGCATGTGTGGAACAGCAGCAACAGTTGAGTGCTTGCCAACTTTTCCAGTTTTTTCAAATTTCTAGATCTTTGTTTGAAAAACAAGTCGACAAGTGACGTAGAAAATAGCAAGTAAAGCATAACTTATGGACTGCAGGTTGAATGAGTAAACATCTGCACAAAGGCATTAATTTTTTAAACTTTTTAAACAACAATAACAACAGCTATTTGGGACTGACTGAGATGTTGAAGAAACACAAACACACTTTCGTCTAGAACAGTTAAACACTGAGATTTTATGAAGAATTTGAAGAAAGAGGAAGAGAAACTCACAAATAAGAAAAAAGAAATGAAGAATCGAGGACTTGTTTGACGAAACTGAACGAAATAAAAAGCAACATTTTGAAAAAAAAAGGACCGAAGCAAAAACGAAGAAACTCGTTGATTCCCTTTATCGAAATTGATTTAAATGCATTGAAAATAAACCAAAAAATAAAACGAGAGAAATGATACCTTTTTCCCTATAGTTATCATTATAGATAAAAAATATTTTTTAATCAAGGCCACCGCAAAACGAATGATAACAGCTTCTGTCTAAATACCAAAAATATTGGTTGTAAAAAAACGAAAACCCACTCGAATATCCTAACGACTAAATAACGTTTTGTCATACGAAAGTTGTGGATTAAATGAAAGCCAAATGTTCTGGACAGTTGATAGAAAATTATTTTACAAGCAACCGGCTTATTTAATATTGCTTAAGGGATCCCTGTGTTAAAAGAGTCAACCAGTCTTTCTCTGATCGAATTATCCACAGGCATCCCAAAATAAGCGAGCGATCGATTCACAAAAGCTTAGTGTGCGCGCAAGAAAAGCGAAGGAAGTTGCTAAATTTATGAGAAAACTGAATTAAATATAATTATACATAATCCCAATCATCAAAGGATTGGATCTCCCCCCAGTAGTTCAGGTTACCTGGTACAATCTGTTGGTTATACGTGTTCGTAGGACTGGCCCGGTGCATACGATCACTTTCCGGTCCAAAACCACTGCCCTGTGATCCGGGTATCATGCCGTTGGGTGCCGGGTATCGCAATGAATCATCTTCGTAATCACTGCCGTAACCTGTTGGCGACAAGGGATAAGGTTAAATTCATTCTTGACCTAAGTTGAACGATTTTGAGGCATAAGGGTAGATAACCATTTAACCGGAAAAACCGGAAATTTCGGAAAACAAATGGTATGTATTATTCCGAACAGAAAGTTCTGGAAAACTCGGTCTTCTGATTGAGGTAACCCACTTTTCCCGCTCTTTTCGGTTCATCCAACAAACGCGTGTACCATCTGTCGGAAGTCAAAGTTTCCCGCTCTTTTCTTACCATTAGCAAACAAATTTCCAACCGGACGCATTGGATTAAATCAGTGGTACTCAACCCAGTTTTCGCCGACAGAACCAGAACCTTCTGTAAGGGATAAAAATGCTTTCCCGCGCGAAACACATTATAAACCGCTATAACTTAGGCCTAGGGCAAACGTCGAACTTTCCATGCACCGAACTTAATTGCATCAAAGAATGCCGCCTCATTATCACCTGATATCAATTGTTTTTAATAAACTCGGTGCATGGAAAGTTCGACGTTTGCCCTAGGCCTTAGACAAAAGGTCATCCTATTTTTTGCCTTTGTGTTATAGATTGGTTCCATGGCAGCCATGTTGCTGGCCAAAAGGAATAAAATCTTCTCGTTTGGGAAATCAAATCTCTTCTTATGAAAAACATTGCACTGTTCCGTCCTACGACATGAGCAACTGCTTTGAAATACTCTCATGATTTCCATATGATTTTTTTAGCCGCCATTTTGGTTAAATTTAACAAAAGACTTGTCAAAGGATTCTTTGTTATATCAACCAACATGGCCGCCGTGTGTTTTGTTATTTCACTCCCTTGAGAATTGAATGATTGAAGACCAGCAATATTAACGTGAATGCAAAATGATAAGTAACTCGTACCAATCTCTCCCGGTCCTCGTTGTCCTTTGGATCTGAAAGAGCTTTGAGGGGACTGATTAGGTGTGGGTGGTGCTAATGGTTCACCGTTCTCGTCGTGTGTCTTTAGAGGATACCAGCAGAAGCTACCGTCCATGTTTGCTTCGGTCATATTGATAATTGCCTGGAATTGAGAAAGAGACCATAAATCTGAGGATTTCTCAACAGTCGACCACTCCCAGCACCATGCACTAGTATTAACAAGCTACTCCTCCCTCCCCTCCCTCGAAACACGTGGTTGTTACAAATAAACTGCCAGTGAAAAGAGATTCTCTTTCTTTCTCCCCTCTCCCCCCCTCTCCACTAACTTCAACAACTGAAATCATCCCTCCCTTCCCCC